AGCTTGAGATTTCCTGTCTCGTAATTTGATCGCAACACCGTGCTATCCCGAATCGCCGCGCACGTCCCGCAAACTCTCCCCCCAGCTGCGTCGCGCTTCTTCTGCGCCTCTGACATGGCCGCCTTTTCTTCGAACAGCGCCATGCACTTGCTAGACGTTCTAACACCGCAATGCGCATGAACCCTCGCCCAAGTCGCGTTGCCACCGCGCGCTCTCCGCTTCGCTTTCACACGGTTGCGCTTCGCGCAACACAGGGTCCGAACCCTTTTCGGCTCCTACGACTACGACGACCGCCACCACTACTACTACTACTACTACTACTACTACTACTACTACTACTACTACTACTACTACTACGACTACTACTACTACTACGGCTACTACTACTACTCCTACTACTACTACTACTACTACTACTACTACTACTACTACTACTACTACTACTACTACCTCCACTACTACTACTACTACTACTACTACTGCTACCACTACTGCTACTACTACTACCACCCTTTCTACTACTACAACCCTTACTACTATTACTACTACTGCTGCTACTACTACTACTACATCTGCTACTACTACTGCTACCACTACCACTACAAATACTACTACTAAGACTACTACTACTACTACTACTACTACTACTGCTACTACTACTACTGCTACTACTACTACTACTACGACTAGTACTACTACGACTACTACTACTACTACTACTACTCCTACTACTACTTCTACTACAACTACTACTACTACTACTGCTACTACTACTACTACTACTACTACTACTACTGCTACGGCTACTACTACGACTAGTACTACTAATACTACAACTACTACTACTACTACGACTACTACTACTATTGATACGACTACTACTACTACTACTACTACTACTACTACTACCACTACCTACTAGTAGAAGTACTACTACTCCTACTACTGCTACTACTACTACGGTTGCGCTTCGCGCAACACAGGATCCGAACCCTTTTCGGCTCCTACGACTACGACGACCGCCACCACCACCACTACTACTACTACTACTACTACTGCTACTACTACTACGACTACTACGACCACTACTACTACTATTACTACTACTGCTGCTACTACTACTACTACTACTACTGCTACTACTACTACTGCTACTACTACCACTACAAATACTACTACTAAGACTACTACTACTACTACTACTACTACTACTACTACTACTACTACTACTGCTACGACTAATACTGCTACTACCACTACTACTACTTACTACCATTACTACTACTACTACTACTACTGCTACAACTACAACTACTACTACTACTACTACTACTACTACTACCTACGACCTGCGACCTACTACTACTACTACTACTACTACTGCTACTACTACTACTACTACTACTACGACTACGACTACGACTACGACTACTACTACTACTACTACTAGTAGTACTAGTACTAGTACTAGTACTAGTACTAGTACTAGTACTGCTACTGCTACTACTGCTGCTTTTACTACTAAGACTACTACGGCTTCTACGACTACTACGACTACGGCTACGACTACGACTACGACTAGTACTACTACTACTGCTGCTACTACTACTGCGACTACGACTACTATTACTACTACCTCCATGTCTACTACTACTACTACTACTACTACTGCTACTACTACTACTACTACTACTACTACTACCCTTTCTACTACTACAACCCTTACTACTGCTACTACTACTACTACTACTACTACTACTACTACTACTACTGCTGCTGCTGCTGCTGCTACGGCTACTACTACTACCACTACGACAACTACTATTAAGACTACTACTACAACAACAACTACTACTACTACTACGACTACTACTACTACTACGACTACTGCTACTACTACTACTACTACTACGGCTACTACTACTTCAACTACTACAACTACTACTAATACTCGTACTACTACTAATGCTACTGCTACTACTACTACTACTACTACTACTACTACGGCTACTACTACTACTTCAATTACTACAAATACTACTAGTACTCGTACTACTACTACTGCTACTACGACTGCTACTACTACTACTACTACTACTACTACTACTACTATTACTACTACTACTAGTACTACTACTACTACTTGTACTACTACTACTGCTACCACCACTACTACTAACTACCGACGACTACTACTACTACTATCAACTGCCTAACTACTACTACTACTACTAACTACCACTACTACTACTACTACTTTCACTACTACTTACTGCTGCCTACTTTACTACTACTACTACTACTACGATTGCTGCTACTACGGCGCTACTACTGAACGACCTCCTACGAACTACTACGACTACGACTACGACTACGACTACGACTAACGACTGCTACTACTACTACTACTACTACTACTACTACCCTACTACCACTACCACTACCACTACCACTACCCACTACTACTACTACTACTACTACTACTACTAACTACTACTACTAACTACTGCTACACTATACTAACTAAACTATCACAACACAACAACTACTACTACTACTACTGCTGCTGCTGCTGCTACGACTACTACTACTACTACTGCTGCTGCTGGCCTTTGGCCCCCTTGCCCCCCCCCCCCCCCCCCCCCCCTTTTGCTGCTGCTACTACTACTACTACTACACGACTACACTGCTACTACTACTACTACTACTACGACTACTACTACTACTACTATTACTACTACTACTACTACTACTACTACTACTACTACTACTACTACTACTACTACTACTACTACTACTACTACTACTACCTCTATTATAGCTAAACATCAGAAATTAAACTACATCTTAAACTCAATAAAAAAGGACATGCTGGTAAGCATAATTGCAATATTAACCAACTTCAGCAGAATGACAGAACTCCGCCCAGATTTCTGGGATCGGCGCTGGACCCCTCTCTCTTGCGCGCGGCGCGCGCCAGGGGCGGCGCCAGGGGCGTCGCCAGCGGCGCCGCCAAGGGGGGCCATCTTCGAAATGTATGTAAATGCAGTTGTTCTTCTTCGAGGGTGGGAGGGGCAATGGGGGGATAGGCCGAGGAGGGGGAGACGGACCTGGAGACGGCGAGGCATGGGGAGGGTGGAGACAGAAAACGAATCAGATAAAATGAGAGACGCGCGGGAGGGAGAGAGAAGAGAGAGACAACAAAGGAGAGGGAGAGAGAGAGGGAGAAAGAGAGAGAGAGAGAGAGAGAGACAGAGCGATATAGAGAGAGCGAGACGGGGGGGAGATGGCGCTAGCATTATGGAGCTAAGGAGGCCAGGCCTCCAGGGAGGAAGTCGCGGCTGGTCATCTCCTGCCCTCTCCGCGAACTGGGCTCCGGCCCACGCGAGGAGGAGCGCATGCGACCTTTTCTGGATCCAGGCCACCTACGCGCATCGCACCCTGAGACGCGCGGCAATTTTTGCGCCCTCGCGCGGCCGCCCTGGAGAAGGGCAGTTGATTCAACTTTGCTCCGCGACGCGCGAACCACGATTATCTTCGCGCCCCCGCGTCTCTGGTAATTAGATCCCTGGGCATCCCGCGTCTCGATCTTCTCAAATTCGGGACCCGACCTGTCGGAAAGTTTCTCGGACCGGCTTCTCACCCCGACTCGTCTCGTAACGGCCCCGAGGCACGGCAAGGGCCCCGAGAGTCCGCACCGAGGAAGAACATACATCTGCTTTTTTGAAGGGGCCCTGGGGCACACAAATAAATACACACAAATAACAGAATTCCCCTATTACCTAACAGCGAAGACTGATAGGTTTCTAATGGAGTCAAAAGAGAGCATCTGATGACTCCCCAGGGGGGTCTGGGCGGGAGCCGGACAGGCGAGGGCCGGGCTCGTTTTAAGCAAACAGTCACACACTTCGTGCTCTTCGACCTCCCAGAACTCCATTCCCGGGCCACATTTTGAATGCCGGAGCTGACTGTAACAAAAAAAAAAAAAAAATAAAATAAAACAAAAAAAAAAATAAAAAAAAAAAAAAAAAAATAAAAATCCACTTCGTGCTCTTCGAGTGTTTCTTCCTCCAGAACTCCATTTCCGGGCCACATTTTGGATGCCCGGAGCCAACTGTAGGCCACTTCGTGCTCTTCGACTTCCCAGAACTCCATTCCCGGGCTACATTTTGGATGCCCGGAGCCAACTGCAAGCCACTTCGTGGTTCGAGGTCCCAGAACTCCACTCCCAGGCCAAATTTTCAATGCCCGGAGCCAACTGCAGGCCACTTCGTATTCTTCTAGTTCCCAGAACTCCATTCCTGGGCCACATTTTGAATGCCTGGAGCCAACTGTAGGCCACTTCGTGCTCCTCGAATTCCCAGAACTCCATTCCCGGGACACATTTTGAATGCCCGGAACCAACTGTAGGACACTTCGTGGTCTTCGAGTTCCAGAACTCCATTCCTGGGCATGATTTTGAATGCCCGGAGCCAACTGTAGGCCACTTCGTGTTCTTCGAGTTCCCAGAACTCCATTCCCGGGCCACATTTTGAATGCTGAGGCAGGCTGATGCTGAGGCTGAGGCAGGCTGAGGCGGAGGCAGGCTGAGGCTGAGGCTGAGGCTGAAGGCAGGCTGAGGCTGAGGCTGAAGCAGGCTGAGGCTGAGGCTGAGGCAGGCTGAGGCTGAGGCTGAGGCAGGCTGATGCTGAGGCAGGCTGAGGCTGAGGCTGAGGCTGATGCTGATGCAGGCTGAGGCTGAGGCAGGCTGAGGCTGAGGCCGAGGCTGAAGGCAGACTGAGGCTGAGGCTGAAGCAGGCTGAGGCGGAGGCTGAGGCAGGCTGAGGCTGAGGCAGGCTGAGGCTGAGGCTGAGGCAGGCTGAGGCTGAGGCTGTTACTGCGACTGCCGTTGCCACTGCGACTGTCATCGCGAATGCGACTACGACTGCGAGAACAGCAGAATTCTACAACTGGATTCTCATCTGAATCTTAAGGGGAATGCTTCCAGATATGCTCCTACACATCGCTGTTAGGTTGCTTTGCCGGGATAATATTTTCCCATATTTTCTGGGTTTTTGTCTTCCCCCCCACTTCCCATATTTTCCCATATTTTCTGGGGAATCGACGATTCATTGAGTCTGTGTGTTTCTTTCCCTCCTGATTTTTCTCGAGGCACTGGCTGCCTGGATCTGTGCGCCCCCCCATGGCCGGGGTGCACAGAGCCGCTCTGTAGCAAAACGCTCTGGGGCCGGGCCCGGCGGGCGCGGGCCCGCAAAGAGAATGCTGCCGCGGCACCCTGTCGACAAGCCCAAAAGGCCAACTCGCCGATCGAACCGATCGGCGAGTTGGCCTTTTTTGTTTGTCGATCTGATCGATCGGATCGATCAGGACTCCGTTTCCTTAGTCGTTCGCGATGCCGGCCGTGACCGGCCCCACCTCCCTCCCCATTCCCTGCTCACGTCACGATTCACGCCGGCGCCGACTGGGAATTCGCAATGGTTCCGCAGTCCCAGACGGCGCGGGCGCGGCTCGTGACCGGCGCGCAAATTCTCACCAGGGGGTGGACAAAAGACTGTCTCGAGGCAAAAAATGAGGGTTCTGTCAGCCCCGCCCCCAGACCCCCGACGTCATGATTTCTCACGACATGGTCCCCCGAAGTCTGGAACCGTTCCCCGTAAGCCGGTGTTCATCCCGAGTCGTTTTTGTTGACGGCCGGGGCCCGGCGATGGCCCCCGAGAGCCAGCAATAGCGAAAAACCGCCCGTCATGATCTTTCCACGTCGCGAGCATGCCTGGGTAATTAATGATCCTGTTAACTGTTTGCGCATCCCCGTCCGCAAAATGATGACTAGGGGCAACGGCATCGGGAGGACTCTCGCGCACGCTGGCTGGAGGCACCTGCGCAGAATGCCTGCGATTGTCCGTGCTGGAGCATGTGCTATCCCCGTCAAATGCTCGTTCTTGGTTGCGTGATGAGCGAACCCTGACGAGAAAAAAGCAGGACTGCCAACGTTGGACGCAACTCTGCAAGCCTCTGTCGCTATATGGTCAACAATTATGAGGCACGCCTGCATCGCAGGAGCGCCGCTATTGGGCAGAAGCCTTACCCCGATGTGTGGCCGCAGCGATCGCCGCGGCGACCTCCACAACCGAACGGGAGCTTCTGCTCGGAGTCGGATGTCAGAGGCAGCGCGAATCAACCGTCGCTGGCTTGAACCGTTTCTCTAAGAGGGGCTTCAGAAACCATGCCACCCCCCTGCAAAACAAATCCCGAAGGAAACGTGTCACAAACAAAAGGGCCTCTCGCCCCCCATCCCGCCCCCCCCCCCCCGAGAATAACCAAAGGGGTCCGCCGCCCCCCCCTCCACATTCAGAAAAATTTGCGGGGTGGTCCCAGACCCCCCGCACCCCGCGAAATTTCATAGGGAGGGTCTAGATACCCCCCCTCGGGAAAATTATGAAGGGTCCAGAACACCCCTCTCCCGTGGCAACAGTGACGACGGCGGCGACGGCGACGGCGACGATGACGACGATGACGGCGACGACGACGACAACGAAGACGACGATGGCGACGACGACGGCGACAACGTCAGCGGCGGAGGCGGCTGCGGCGCAACTGTCGCCTGCGCCCGCGCCAGGCGCCGGTTCTGATATAATGCCACTGCGGCTCGGTTTGGTTCTCAGTAGCCTACCGAGGCACTGCTGTACTCTGCCCCTTCTTTGCCCTACTTTACTCGACGCTCCCCTGCTATACTCTACTGTGCCCCACTGTACTCTACAATCCGCCGCGCCCTGACACGCTCTACTCTACTCCACGTGACTCGCACTCTACTCGCCAACTGAGCTACTCTACTCTACTCTATTCTCCTCTACTCTACTCATCCCTACGCAGCCCTACCTTCCCCAAGCATAATTTACTTTACTCTACTTTGAACCTCCTCTCCTCACCTCTATTTGACTCTGAACAGAGTTTTTGTTATCGCTTAGTTTTCGTTTCAAACCAAATTTGAGCGAACGCGCCGACCAGCGTCGCGCGAATCGTTGTGGAGCAAAACGGCGGGCAAACAAAACAGCTGCCCCCGAGCAGCCGGAACCAAAACGCGGAACAGAACGGCGGCACGGCCGCGAGCCGCCAACAAAACGAAAAACAAAACCAGCGAGCACCCAGGCGACGACGACGACGACGACGAGTCAGGTGCAGATACAGGCAAAGATTTAGGCGAATATTGATGTGAAGATTTATGTGAAGATTTAAATGGAAATTTAGGCGCAGATTTAGGCGAATAGTTAGGTGAAGAATTAGGTGAAGACTTAGGTGAATATTTAGGCGAAGATTTAAGCCACGATTTAGGTGGAAAAATCCGGTGAAGAGTAAGATGAAGATTTCGGCGAAGATGTCGGCGAAGATCTAGGTGAAGAATCAGGTGGAGATTCGAATACAGATTTAAGTGAAATTTTCAACGAATAGCTATGCGAATTATTTAGGTGAATATTCAAGTGAATGTTTGGGCGAATAATTCGGTGAATATTTGAAGTGAAGATTCAAGTGGAGGCTTCGGCGAAACTTCACGCGAAGATTTAGGTGAAGATTGAAGTCAATATTTAGGCGATGATTTCATCAACTATCTAAGTGAATATTTAGGTAAAGAGTCAACAACTAATATTCAGTCGAAGATGCAGGCGAAGATTTGGATCATATTCAGGTGAACATTTGAGTACAGATTGAGGCGAATACTTAAACGAACATTTAGGCCAAGATTTAAGTGAAGATTTAAGTGAAAATCTAGGAAAATATTTAGGTGAAGATTTAGGTGAATAAGTACGTGAAGATTTCGGCGAAGCTTTACTCGAAGATTTAGGTGACGATTTAGGTGGATATTTAAGAGAAGAGTTAGGCTTATATGGAGGTGAAGGTTTACGTGACGATTTAAATTCAGATCTAAGCGAAGATAGAGGTTCACGTGAAGGTGTTGGCGTGACGCTATCGGCGAAGCTTTAAGCGAATATTTAGGTGCAGATTTAGGTGAAGATTTCAATGCAGATTTAGGCACATATTTAGGCGAATATAACATGAAAATTCGGGTGGGGATTTAAATGAAGCTTCAAGGGAAGATGTGGGTGCATATTTACGGGAAGATTGCGGTGAAGATTTGCGCAAAGCATTCAGTGAAGATTTAGATGAAGATGTAAGCGAAAATCTAGGTGAAGATTTGGGTGAAGAGTTCGGTGGTGATTTAGCTGAAGATTTAAGTGGCCCGCCCGCCCGCTCGCGCGCGCCCGCCCGCTCGCCCGCCCGCGCGCCCGCCCGCAAACCCGCCGCGCCAAAATGAAGGAGAGGAGCCCTCGCGCCCGCTGCCGCCCGCCAGCCCGCCCA